TTTTGTTTTCTGTGCATAGAAGGTCATATTGTCTTCATTTCCCACAAACTCAGAGAGCTTGAGAAGCTTGTACCAGGCTGCTTTGTTCTTACTGGAGGAGACTGGTCACTCTCTCTCTGGATAAATCCACACTGACAGGGACATCCCCAGATTGTAGGCAATAGGGCTACTCTGGGTCACATCTGATGAGGGAAACACTGGGGGCTGCAAGGTGCTGAGGACACTGCTTCGCAGCACCAGTACAATAGTGATGATGATGAAAGTAAAACTAATAATATTGTAACGACAGTTAGCATTTATGGGACGCTATATGCTAAGTTGTGGTGCTTCAGAAGAATACTGAACATATCATGGACTTCCGAAAGAACAAACAGGTTTTTCCTGTAGAGGGTGAAACCAAGCTGCTTCTTGGAGGCAAGGATTTTGAAGCTCCATCTCACATACTTTGGACATGTGGCCAGGAGGGGCCATTGTCTGGAGAAAGTTATAATGCTTGGAAGGGTAGAAGGACAGACAACACAGGAGAGGGAGACCCCAGATTAGATGGATTGACTCAGTAACTGGGATATTAGGGATAGGCGTGTTGGAGACAGTAAGATCGGCTCAGGATAGGATGGGGTCAGAACTATTGTATGTAGGGTTGCTATAAGTCACAGGTGATTTGATGGCACATAACAACAACAACATATGTTAATAATGTTACATGCATCTTCCCATTTAATCTTCTCTAATAGCAGGCCTCTGAAAACCCTATATACAACAGAACACATGTAGATAACAGAAAGGGCAACTGAGGTTGAGCTTTCAGGTATGGAAATACAAAGGAAGAGGAACAGTTGTAAGCAGACACTAGTGATTGGGACATGGAATGTGAGAACCATGGATGTAGGAACATTAGATATTTTTAAGGAAGAAATGGAATGCATAAATATTGACATACTAGGCATTGGGGAGATAAGATGGGTCGTTTTGAGTCAGATGATCATATGATGTATTACTCTGGAGTTGAAAAGGTAAGGAAAAATGGAGTTGCTTTCATAGTTAAGAAAGCCACTGCTAGATCCATCTTGAAGTACAATATTGTGAGTGACAGGATAATATCCATATGCATACAAGGAAGTCAGTGAATACCACTATCATTCAGGTATATGCACCAACATCCAGAGCTAAGGAAGAGGAAATAGAAGATTTTTACCAACTTTTACAGTCGGAGATAGATCAAACATGCAATCAAGATGCACTGAAAATAATGGATGACTGGAATGCAAAAGTTGGGAACAGAGAAGAAGATTCAGTAGTTGGAAAACATGGACTCGGTGACAGAAATGGAGCTGGAGTGAGGATTATTGAATTTTGCACAATGACTTATTCATTGCAAATACGTTTTTAAAGAGACATACACGCAGGTTATATACATGGATTTCACCTGATGGTATGCATAGGAATCAGATTTATTACATCTGCAGAAAGAATCGCTAGAGAAGCTCAACATTAGCTGTGAATACTAGGCCAGGAGCTGATTGTGGAACAGACCACCAACTACTCATATGCAAGTTCAAGCTGAAGCGGAGGAAAATTAAACCAAGTCCACAGGAAACAAAATATGACTTTGAGTCTATCCCACCTGAATTTCAGAACCATCTCGGGACAGGTTTGAGGCCTTGAACACTAATGAGCAAGACCTAATGAGTTGTGGTAGGACATCAAATGTATCATCCAGGAAGAGTGCAAAAGGTCATTGCAATGAATGGGGTAATCAAGATGGGTGTGTCAGAGGCAGTGCGATTGGTACAGGACAGAGGAGAGTTTAGGGCTGTTGTACATAGGGTCACTATGAGTCGCAAGCGACACAACAGAACACAACAACAACAACAACAATAATTCTTTGATTCAGGTATTGTTATTTATCCCATTTTTTGAAAAAATTATTATTATTTTTTGTGTGTGTACTGTTGAATTGGATCTGACTGGTACAGGAGGAGATTGCCCCTTCTCCAGCAGAGCATCTGGTGGATTTGAACTGTATATCTCTGAGACTGCAATACAGTTCCTTGCCACTAGGCCACTAGAGCTCCCTTATTTATCCCATTTCATGGAAATGAGCGAGGCAACTGAGGAATGGAGAGGTAAAGTGTCCAATACAAAATCATTTAACTGGTAAAGGGACAGCACAGAGACTTAAACATGGGTCCTTTGGATCTCAAAGCCTGTGTTCTTTATTAGTAAGCTTTGCTGCTGCTGTGTACCTTTGAGTTGGAACTGACTCATAGCTGACCCTCCAGCAGGCTTTCAGAGGCAGTAAATGGTGCAGGAGGAGACTGTCTGTCTTTCTCCTGTGGAGCAGCTGGTGGATTTGAATCGTGTGCCTTTGGGTTGGCAGCGCAACTCCTTACCACTAAACCACCAGATCTATTAGTAAGCTAGTTGAGTACTTTTCGGAGGCACAGGAGGTGTGTGCATGCGCGCGTGTATGTGTGTGTGTGTGTGTGTGTGTACATGCCTGGTGTGTGCATGCACTGGGTATGCCTGTGCGCATCAGACTAGAACTCCCAGAGGCTTGTCACTGACCTGCATGTTCTTGTGGGGGTTTCAGTGAAACACCAGGCCCTGCCTACCTGTGGGCTGCTCACTTGACCACAAGCAGGGAGTGTTTCCTGGGAGGTAATGAGGGACCATTAATCTCCTGTTGCACCCACAATTACCCAAATTGCTAACCTTATTGTGAAAAGTAGAAATGCAATTGAATTGGTGCTGGAGGCATGTTAGAGGAAGGGGAAACACTCAAAGTAATTTAATTAACTGATGGCAAGTACATTAAGAGGAGTGCTGCCTCTGCCTTTATTTCTGATGTCTTTAGGAAGAGCACCAAGTAGAGCACATGGATGTTCAGACAGACACGGCGTCCCATCTGGGTTCTCAATCAATCACCACAGGCCGGACGTGCTTCAAAGCTGATGCTCTCACGTCAGTAATTTGTGCTGAGAGCTTCTGTGCACATAAACTTGTGTACCTCAATGTGCGGGGGCACACACACACACACCCACACCCACATTCATTCTCTCTCTCATTCTTTCTCAACATACCTTGACACAACACACCATACCTGCCCTACACAGCAAGCCATCCCTTTTCCCCTGTGTCTGTTTGTCTTTCTCTCTCTCTCATGCCCGCCCCCCCCACCCCACTTTACACAACTTACCCTACCACATACATATTTCAATGTAACATACCATTATCGCCACCCCTGGCCCCAGAGACAGACAGACATACACTGGCCCCAGTCTACAAATACCACCCTGTCCTTTCTTGCTGAGTCCTCAGATGAGCCCTGACTGTCTCAGACTGAGAGCACAAAAGACTTCCCACCCGAACACCCATCTGTCAATCACGCCCAGGGTGTGCTGGCACTCGGAGATATGTAGGACACAAGTTATGTCCACCTTGGTTGGAAACTGCAAGAAAACCATCCTTCCCAGTGTGGGCAGTGTAGGAGAAGGCCACCCACCATCTCTTCTCAGGTGGACCCTTCTGATGGCTCCTCTTCCCACACACCTCCCTCAGGGTCTGCAGGGCGTAGCCAGCATTAGAGTTCTGGTTCCATGTGTTCCCTGCTGGTCTCTCTCCCTACAAAACAGTCTCAGAGTTGGAAAGACCAAAGTCATGGCACTTGGCTGTTCTCCGTGGCTATCAGCCACCTTACAGCACTGTTGACTACAGTTCCTGCCTCGGCTTCACGGCCTCTGGGAATGGGGTGCTCACTGTTTCCTGTGACACTCACTCCACTGCTGGGAGTTCTGAGGACTGGAATGGTGCACCAGCCACAAAGCTCAAATTGGTCTCCTTTATGGGGTGAACCTTGGCCCTTTGTGCTAGTCCAACATGTGGGGTGGGTCACACAATCCAGGCCAGTTTCCTCTACCCTTGTCTCTTAAAGAGTCTACCAAAAACTGACCACTCCTCCCACAGCCCTTCCTTCTCAGGGCCAAGCCCCTACGGCAGACTGACACAGAGAACATGGATGTCCCCTGTTCTTCCTGGAACTGTATTCCTGTCACTGCAGCCCGAGGCTGGTCAGCCATCCGGGCAGCTCTCCACATGGGTGACATCACCTGGTCTTTTCATGTGAACTTCTGGGAAGCCACCTCACCCCTGTGCCAAACCTGGGCCAATAAATATACGTGAATTACACCACAGTCCAGTAGGAGGGAGATCTTGCTGGAGTTTTATAGTTTTAATGTTTTCATACAGATGAATTAACTGAGAATGAGTTAAGAAATTGCTCAAAGGTGGCAAGCCAGTGCCTGGAGGATCCTAGGACCCCCAATCCAGGCTGACTGGGTCTTCAGGAGAAAAGAAGTACCCCGTGCTTGTTACATCTGACTGTAGGAACCTAGCTGCTCTTTCTTCCACACAGAATCACTTATCAGCTCAAACCCTCAAAACCTAGAAAACAAGAAGCCGTCAACCTTGTCTCCTTCCACCAATCCAACTCAACAGCTCACATTCACCTTTCACAGAGAATGTCCCTTCCTTCGTGGTTAGATGTTCAGATCCTAATGGTTCCAGAATCTCCCCCATGGGAGCCTTAGGGCAATGTACCTTCCCCGGCTCTGGAGCTTCCTGCTTCCAAGGTGACTGGACCTCTCTGTTGCCTTGTGGGCCATTCCACCAGGCCACATGGCCCCCACTTGACCAGACCGTTTCTTTCCACATGCCATCCTTCTGCCCACCTCCAACCTTTGCTATCTCAGGCCCTACACAGAGGCCTCCTGCCCTGTCCCAGCCAACACACCCTTTTCTTTTTTCATCCTGGGCCTGGCTTCCAGGTGTTTGGCCACCACTCATCCTTCTCTGCACATATAGTGGATGAGGATTTCCTGATGCCTCCAGGCTGACAGCAGGCCTGAACAGCACTGAGCATGGGTGGTTACAATGCCGCCCAGTGACTCGAACTTTCTCTGATTAATATGAGAGTTTGGAATATATTCCAGGTGACTTACATTGATGTCTTCTAAGTCCAGGAAGTTCAGGGTGAGCCCGTTGCGCTTCCAGACGATTGGCGGGCGCAGGTCTCCGCGGACAGCGCAGGTCAGCACTGTGCTTAGTCCCACTGTCACTGTGGTCACCATGACCCTCTCCTCAGGGGCGAGGCGGAGCTGAACCACTTCTGTGGAGAAAAAGGAGGTGATATTCAGGGACACACCCAGAGGGCTTCAGAACTCCCCAAGTTGTTTATAACCAAAAGCACAGACTAACAAATGAAAAAGAAAAGACCCACCTTTTGCTGTTAAGTCAAGTCTTATTCACAATGGTCCTATGGGCAGAACGGGTCTGCTCCATGGGGACTCCAAAGCCCTGCTCTTCACTGAAGCAGACTGCTGCCTCTTTCCCCAAGGACAGGCTGGTGGATTCAAACCCACAGACTTTGGGGTTTGCACCAGGTGCTTCTTAACTACTGTATCACAGGACCCCTCTGTGTACAAAAGCCAGAATAAATTCACAGATATAGATGTTTTTCCTGGGAGATCAACACAGCTTATGCCAAATTCTCATGGAGTTTAGTTTGAGTCGACACAGCTCAGCCACAGGGACTGTGTGGGCTGCCAGGTCATGTGGTCGTCACACAGGGACCAGGCCAGCAAGGCCTCAGGAAGCCAGGACCATGCTAAGTGCAGTCAAGGTCTGCTGGGTGGGCCCACAGCATCTCATCCATCTGGGGGCAGTTTAAAGGTTACACTGTCTGAAGTCTGGGGGGTGAACTGGCTGACCTTTGGAGGTTCATTTCTGTCTGATAATTCTCTGAAGCTAGACTTGGGTTTCTGCTCACTGAACACTCATGAAGGCTTCTAATGTTTTTGGAATGTACTTCAGGCTGCACAAATTATTAATCCTTGCCATTTTACACTGGATAACTGGCATTAAGACTGATCATTCTTCAGGCAAATGGGAAGGGTCTGAAATATTTCCCTGCAATCACAGGCTTTTAGAAATTCTCAGGATTTATGAAAAAATTAATCAAACTCGGGCTGCTCAAATGCTGAGATGGGGCCAGGCTGGGAGAGTCACCAGCCCAGTGTGGGACTATTTCCCTCTCCCTCTCCTCCTGCCCCAAATCTGCCTATCAAGGGAGCTGAGGGCAATAGTCAGAGATGGGGTGAGCTGAGAGAGGCCAGCGAACAATGTACTGGGAGTTTTATTCTCTCCATCCCACTGTGACCTGGGGACCCGGATATGGGTGTTCCCCTAAAACCGGTGTAGAGTTGGGAGCTGAGCTTTGTGATTCAGCAGGATATTTGCCAGCTGTGGCTGTTAGCAGCACCACTGAAGGCAGTACATCTGTACCCAGTGCGCTCCTGGCAGAGAGATGGGGAGAGGGAGAAAAAGAGAGAAAGAAAGAGTGGGAGAGAAGGAAGGGAAAGGGGGAAATGAGGAAAAGAGGAGAAGGAAATGGGGAGAGACGGGGTAGGGTGAGGAGAGAAAAGGGGAGCGTGGGGAGAGCAGGGACAGAGAGGGAGGAGAGAAAGGGAAAGGGGGGAGAAAGGGGAAGGGGAGGAAGGAGAAGGGGGAGGAGAGATGAGGGGAAGAACAAGGGAGAGTGAAAGAGAAGGGGAGTGGGAGAGGAGGAGGGGAGAGGGGAGAGAGAGGATGGAAGAGGAGGGAAGATAGGAGAGAGAGGAGGAGAGAGAGGACAGAGGGGGGGGGGGTCTATGCTTGGAAAGATGGTAGA